TAACAGTAGAATAATCTACAAATTAAATAAAATTGAAAAAAATACCAGCCAAAGAAATATTTGATATTTTATGTTTTTTTGTAAATTTTCAACTTTAATCCAAGAAATTACATGGTAACATTTAAAGTAGTATTTTAATGAATTTTTCTATGTGCTGAAGACGGCTTATTCACATAAAAGGAAAGTATTTTTGCCATTTTGTAAGAAAACGTTCAATCAGGAATTTAATACGCACAGAAAGTGTGATTAAATTTAAATAAGTGATTGAATTTCAATAGATTTTTAAAATATATTTCTATCAAGAATACAAATTTAATTTTCAATCGACTTTTCATGCATGATTTTCTTGCATAAATATCTTCACTTTTTAAGATTTATTCGGCGAAAATAATATTAGAATATACAACTTCTTTTTTTTACTTTCTAATATTATAAAATTTATAAAACCTGAATTTACTTTTATTGACCTTTTAAATGGATTTTAATCTATAAGTGTGGAAAAAGTCTGTGAGTATATATAATGGATGCAAATTTTATTGGTGTAAACACAGTACTGGGTTGGAGTTGACATCTCATCAATTTAGAGTTGAGTTGTCTAGATGTAGTTATAAATTCTATACTAACAGTTTCTTTTCTCTCACTTCTCGCGAGTGGAACTCCCTTCCCGTTTCATGCTTTCCGGTCAACTTTAATCTGAACAAATTTAAATGTGATGTCTTGCTATTTACTATCCTCTTGATTATTCTTTCCTCTTGTTGCTCATTATTAATGCCCCTGTTCCTAATTCTTCTGCACCATGTAACCTCTTGTGTCGTAGTGGTTTCTACTGCATGGGGGATAATGATTTGAAAAAAAAAAAGAAAAAAGTTCACCCACTCATAACTAAGAAGTGCAATGCAGAATCAGCGATGCCCATCTTTTCTTCAGAATGATTTTGTTTAAACGTTATATAAGTTGTGAAATGCCAACCTGCTTTTAAAAAAAAGAATTAATTAAAAACCGAGGGAGAGAAAACAGCATTTAAAAATAGCTATATTTGTTTGAAGAACAAAATCTGAAAAAGAACTGAAACCAAACTGGAATCGTTTACTCCGTGGCGAATAGCGCTGGGATTTCAGAAATTCATCACGTCTCTATAACGGTACACGTTGGTGAAAGCCAAATAGATTTGTACTGAAAAAACCGGAATCAACCACGCATTAATATATCCAATCATAAGCAAATAAATAGAATACAGATGAATGAATTATTTATGAATAAGCTATTCTGCAAAGTTTATTTCTACCTTAGAGTTTCTATTATTACGAAATATTCCTGATATTTAAACCGAGCAAGTCCATCTCCCAAAAGACATTATCAGCATAGAACGAATACTTTCGGCACGCGACTCTCAGAGTAATGTAAGACATACTCCATTATATATATATATATATATATATATATATATATGAAGTGGAATGGGCCAAAAATTTTTCACCACTCCTTGATACACACAGGCGCGAGCACAGACACACACACAAACACGCACACATACATTTATGTGTGATGAAATCACTTCGTTATATATATATATATATGTGTGTGTGTGTGTGTGTGTGTGTGTGTGTGTGCGCGCGCGTGTGTGTGTGTATACAGATAAATGTACTTTGGTTATATTCTCCTAATTTCGATCTAGTTATGCAACAATTTAATAGAAAATACAAATATATTAAACATAGAGATTTTTTTACTGAATTTGATGAAAACTGGTAAAATGGATTGTTTCTGACTAAATATGCATTACATACGCGTACTCACGAACGCACATATATACATAGTCAGCAAGTATTCACATATTCATATTGAAACAAAAAAAGTTCTGTGGTTTTATTTCAATTAACCGATTCCAGAGTTTGCTATAAAATTCTCGAGCATTTTTACGCGATAATCTGGAGTCGGTCAAGTGAGATAAGGTCATTAAAGTTTCATTGATTTATTGAATATTACAGCTTCATTAATCGTTATTTTCCCCGACAATCTATTAGTCCAAATATAAATTGCTAATTACTTCGACGTATTTTTATGCTGTATAATATATATATATATATATATATATATATATATATGTGTGTGTGTGTGTGTGTGTGTGTGTGTGTGTGTGTGTGTGTGTGTGTGTGTGTGTGTGTGTATTTGATAAAATAAAGTAATAAGGTATACTATATTTACAGGGTAAAAGTACTGAATATCCCAGATAGTGAGTATGGAAATATACGCAACGTGAACACCGAAGAGGAATAGGTTCTTTTGCTTAACTATTTACATATGTTAGTCAATGGTATGTTTGAATAGTTTCAGTTGGAGTATCATGGGAAGCATAATTAACAGAGGCGAGTGCCATTCTAACATGGATTCTTGAAATGGAATACATTGATTGGACCATTTTTTCTCAGATTTGAACTTTTAAAGATGGAGTTATTCTTCTGAAGGGTTCAAATGTAAAACCTTTATATCAATATAGGAGACAGAGACCATGGGATATATTTTTGTTTTTGAAAAACTGGGTTTAATACTGCTGTTTGATTCAGTTATGGCTTGATATGGAAAAGGTGAAGAATCAATACAGCAAACCCCTAGGACTCACAACAGTATTTAATAATATATATATATATATATATATATATATATATATATATATATATATATATATATATATATATATATAAGGTCATCCACATACAGCTCTGTTTCGCTGTACCATTGTGGCTTGACATCTAGTTGATTCAAGACAGGATGGAGACCCTGCTGATTTGGCATCAGTCAGAGGTCCTACCCTAACCTATCGGCTCAGGAAAGATGGGAAATTTGAATGTATTGTATACGAATGGAAACAAACGCCAGCAGGCAACAGTGCACAATTTATTCATTTATTTCCCCACCACTTCCACGACAACACCAATACACGCAATATACATAAACCCAAATTTTTAAAAACATTAATCAGTTTGTCTGACGATCGCTAAAGCGTAAAACCCAGGGTCACAAACTCACATCTATCCAACCAAATATATATATATATATATATATATATATATATATATGTGTGTGTGTGTGTGTGTATGTGTGTGTGATAAAAATATAGTTTTAAGGTATGCAATATCTATGGGTTAAATTGCTTAATATCATGGATAGAACGTATGTAAATATAAAAGTGGTAACTGTGGCCAGCACCCAGGGCTGTCAGTGTGTTTCATCTTTCAGGCCATGATGGTTGAGTAAGCGTGAGACAGACTGTCGCTCCTGGGTGTTGATTCTCATGCCCTCTTTTTATATACATGTATATATATATATATATATATATATATATATATATATATATATATATATATATATGTTATAATTTCTGCGCAGTTAGCATTTTAATTCTTCTTATTATGTCCCGTGTAACTTCAAGACGTAGGCGATCATGGCTCGCCATAATTTCCTGTTTTTCGTATCTCCTAATAAATTTAGTCTTTTCTCTTTGTTATCTCACCTAAACATTGTTCCGCCATCCATTTATTCAAACTCGCTAGGTGGCTTATGCGTTGGTCGTCTTGCCTTTAATCTGTCCTATGAGGACCAGATATTCCAAGCACTCCTTTTTTTCCTACCCTTGAAATTTTAACCCTCTCTTCCTAAATGTTAAGCATAAGTGTCCTTTTTGTTTCTATTTTCTCTTAAACTTCCTCGTTGCTCATATTTCTTCTGCTTCAAGTTTCTTCTTCAACTTTGAAGTCATTGTCCAGCATTAACTGCCGCATAGAACTGATATCACGTAACATTTCAGTACCCTCTTCTTTGATTCTAACGAAAATTTTCTGATTCTTCATACTCTGCTTAGATTTTAGAATGCACCTTTGACTATACCAATGCTCCTTTCACTGTTAATTACATTAGATAAAAAGGATTCTCTGATTGGTGTCTTTGCGTAATTCACGGAAAAGATACACCGCCCTAAACTTTTTATTGTTGTCCGTTCGATGTACGAGAATAAAGGATTACGGATTACGGTTGTTTAAGACAGACTTTGCTAATTCCGGAATACGTGACGATTCCTGGAAGACTGTTTATAGACGCACAACGCTTACACAACTTGATCTGGACTCTCAGCATCGGACTTCGAGAATCCAATGAAAAAAGATCCGTCTAGATAATTATACACAGCACATACGTTTCGTATATTCTCATGGCAAGACTGTCTGAATGAATTAATTTCCGAATCATATAAAAAAGATATGGGCATTTCGACGTGGTTATTAGCAAGCTTACCTCGCTCGATCAATTGATTACTGAACACTGAGTTCGATTCTCACTGGGTGCCTCATACTTTCGACCTTGTGCCACACCTAAGCTACGCTTAGAAAAGCAGCATGTCAAAAAGATATGACTTCTGCCAAGCTGCCACAGATTATAAAAAAATGTGTAGCAAACTATTCCTACCGTTGTTAGTTCGATTTATATTAGGATCTCTACTCTAGTAGCCTTGTACCATACTTAGTTAACATCGATAAATATTGCTTAATAATTATGCAGTATTTATTTTTGAATAAATGACTGATTCCATCTGGGTTTCTTTTCCATGAAGTATCTGTTCTTTACAGTAAATTAAAAACCAAAATGATAAACACGTGTTTCTGTCATTTTCGAAATCTTTTCAATAGAATTTAGTGAAAAAATAATAGATTTTAATCGAAATGCAGACAAAAAAACTTTCTAGAAAATAATTTCTTTCGTCAGGTATGATATCCCAGAGGTCGGTCGTTATTTGTTGCAAATTCATTGTTCAATTATCTTCGTTAAAAATACTAGAATCCTAATTAGGCGATGAGTTAACAATCAAGGGAAATCATGCGGTATCTTCGTTACCTAACACGGCCTCGTCATTAAATTCCTTTTCTGTATTGAATTCACATTTTCATCAACAATACAAAAGTTTACAAGCCTCTGGTTTTCTGCCTAAGAAATCCTTACCTAAATCAGGCCTACGGTCATATCAAGTTAAAATACCAGTTCCGGTACGATCCCAGTAGTTAAGCAACGTCGAGCTTGATCAGTACCTAAACTGGTGACTACTTGGGTATAGCAGGTGCTGTAAGCTTGAACGTGCGATTGATTTAATGGAAAACGGTTCAAAATCGGAGAGACGAGTTTCAATTCCAGTCGGGTTCGTTATATTTATTTACACACAAATACCTTAGGGAAATGTGTGAATGCACCTCTTTCCCCCCATCTCCGAGTAGTAGAAATTATATCGATAAAAAATCATAATTATCTCCAATAATTTTTTTTAAATATAAAAATAATTTCTGGCATTAAATAACCTGCAAAAGCTTGATAAGCTGTAAAAAACAAATCGATCAATAAAATCAATGTGTTAGACTATAAATTCTTCCTGTTTTTACATGCCGTTTACCTTCAGGACATATGCGATCATGACTCTCCACAATTTCCTGTCCTCTGTATCTCTTAATAAATTTTGTCTTTTTGTTAATTCTCCTACGTCTTGTTTTGCCATCGATTTACTCAGTTCCCTTAAGTAGATTATGTGTTATTTTCATATGTCCCGCTTGCCTTCAATCTGCCCTGTGAGTATCAGATTTTCCAATGCCTCTTTCCCCATTATGTGCGACAGAAATTTAAACTGTCTCTTCCTGATGCTACATATAAGTTTCTTTTTGTTCCATTTTTCACTAAAACTTTGTCGTTGTTCACATATTATCAGCATCCTTCTGTAGAACCTTATTTCTGTCGCTCCAGGTCTCTTATTCATCTTTGAGGAGATTGCCCAGCATTTACTGCCGTATAGAAGGACTGATGTTGTTTAACAGTTCAGTACTCTTTTCTTTGTTTCTAACGAAATTGTTCTGGATGAACTCCAAAAGCTAAGTAGAGTTAATACGCTACTTAGCTTTTGGAGTTCACCCAAAAGGTGAAAAAGTTCAACAATTATACAACAACGAATGAATAGTGATGCCAGCTGGAACTTGTCAATGACAAGGGGACAAATGTAGAATCAGAAAACTCTAAAGGCCAAAAAACAAAAAATAGGAAAGAAAAATAATTCAATGGATATTTTATCGATCCCGACTGCGAAGACATTTTAACCGTCACGGCAGCTCCTTGTAACAAGTGACACGGATTTAAAAATCGCGACAGTTTATTCTTATTTCCTATACTAGCTGCTGACGTAAGGAGTGTAGAATAATGACCTAAGAATTACAATACAAGCAAAAGAAATAAGAGGAAATACCAAGGGAATTTCTACTTAAATTATCAGTTAGGGATAGAAATACTTACAATACTACATTGGTGATGTATGATTTTTAATAATAAACTAGCATTTGTCACTTCGGATTTCCGAAAATGAATAGTCTGCCTCCCACGACAATTGAGCCACAACTGTACCGCACTACTGAGTGGGTCAGGAGAGTTGTGACAGAGATCAAAAGAAACAAGTTACCAACTAAGAATTACGAATACTTTGGGTGTAACAAAACACATCATGTGAATAAAGCTGGGTTACGACTATTCAAGTATGGCTTCTGATATTTTAAATACATCTTTAGAATAGTATAATTACTGATATTTATTTATTTTAATATCAGGCATATAAAGATTGCCACGAGAAATTGCGAGAAATTGGAAAAAGATCATAGAAAAATTAAAAAGGAAATCGAAAACACTGGCAAGACAGGAACAATAAAAAATTTAAGGCTAGATTCAGAAATGTCATTAAAAGCTGATATTTAAAAGAGTAAAAAAAAAAAAAAAAAAAAAGGAAATCGAAAACATTGGCAAGACAGGAACAATAAAAAATTTAAGGGTAGATTCAGAAATGTCATTAAAAGCTGATATTTAAAAGAGTAAAAAAAAAAATTAAAAAGGAAATCGAAAACATTGGCAAGACAGGAACAATAAAAAATGTAAGGGTAGATTCAGAAATGTCATTAAAAGCTGATATTTAAAAGAGTAAAAAAAAAATTAAAAAGGAAATCGAAAACATTGGCAAGACAGGAACAATAAAAAATTTAAGGGTAGATTCAGAAATGTCATTAAAAGCTGATATTTAAAAGAGTAAAAAAAAAAAGTGCATTGAGAGGCAAGGAAATATTTGAAGAAGCTAGTCCTAAACGTAAACAGAAAGAAAAGATACATATCCTTGATTCAATTTAAACTGACAACTTCTTTTGCTCCGTATATTGTGACTGTTTTTTTATGTTCCTTTTTTTTTTTTATATTTTAATTAACTTTTTCGCGTTCTAGAATTACAGATTTTAATTATGGTTGATTTCTATGGAAAAAGATAGGGTCAGTTTGTAGCATACCTACGGACGATAATGAATATGTCCCTATTCACATAAATACAGTAGTAAATACTGTATGTTGGTCTGCATTTAAAGATTCGTCTCCAGCTGTTTTAGTCAAACTCTCTGCCTCCGCGCAGAGAGGATCTCCAGATCTATGTCGAAGGGTAGAGTCTCGTCTCAGGAAACAGCTACTCGACCCCTTTTTATACGAGGTTTACGGAGAATTTTTGGCCTAGCCTACGGTTTCGGATGCCCCACATTAAATTCGGCCTTGTGCCACATCTGACCGCGTGGGGCGGTTGGTAGATATTCTGCAGTTGGAGATTCATTGTGGAATTCACTTGCCTTACTTCTAGCAGTTGACTATTACTTCTACACGCCGCTGGCGAATCTTATATGTGTTGTTCTTGTCCTACTTATTTTCGTTCATTACCAACCTTTGTTTGATTATTCTATTCAGTAACTTTCCCTAGGGTACAACAGTCATGTAAACCACCAATCTATTATCACAAAGAAAATCGTTTAATGTGCGGGAAAAATGCTTTTGTTATATCAGTTTCTTGTTAAATGGAAAATTCTGAAAGATATTACAAAAATTCTTTCAGGCAGTTGTCAACTAAAGGAAGTGGATCTCATAAGAAACATGTCGACCAACACTGTCAAAGAGTGTCACTGAGTGGACCAAGAACTTGGATTCTTGAAAAAATATATTTTAGACAAGGATAACAAGACAAAGAAATCTATTCTCTATATTACTGTACAACTCAAAATGTGGTACGCGTCCCGGTGCCGCTACGCTAGCCATCGTCTGCCGGTACGCGGACAGTTTCCAGAGAAAAAAGACACAGTAATCACATTCCACGCCATGAGACTGCCGGGATATCTACCACGGTTTGTTTTTTTTTTAATATTTTCATTTTAGCTTAAGATTTACTATAGTTACATTTTCCAATTACCTATGCATGTTAAACGTCATTGCAGTAGAACTAACGAATGCGATATAATGAATAGCAAAACAGTGAAGTAAAATACGTATGACAACACCATTATGATAATGTGGCATATGTCTGTTTGGGAACCACACCTAGGAATAACAAAAGGCCATTTTCATAAACATATATTTCTAATTTGGGCCTTAAAAATTCGTGGTGAAAAAATAAATAACTATGTGGATTTTGGTCAAAGTTTTGAAAAATTACCATTTAATTACTTAGATATATAATCAAATTGTGTATCTAAAAAATGATTCAATATATTTCCACTTCATATCAGCAGAAAAACTATTTTGTACTGATGTTGTTTGAAGCTCAGATTTAATGACGACATCATAGCATATATTTTAATAACTGGTCATAATCAGATTTTATGAATTTGATATTGTCAAACGTATAAAGGTTTTGCTGAAACTGGGAGATGTTGACGAAAAGCGTTTGAATATCAGAAACATTCATTAAGAGGAACACTAGAACTTGTACAGAAAAGAACAGTTTGATTGTGGTGTGCGCACAATCTTTTTATTTTTTAGTTTTTATTACGAGTGAGTTTCCTGGGAAATTCTAAAACAAACATTGAGACATTAACTTCCTCGGGTAAAAGTCAATAAATACATAGACATAGACAGCATTTTCTCTTTCTCGCTACACTCACATACACACACATGCATATATATATATATATATATATATATATATATATAAAAAGAAATATGTTGTAGTGGTTCCAACGAGAGAAAAGTATGTATATTAAAAAAAGAGGGTGCCGCAAACGTTTTTGGTTGTAATGTGGATTTATTGAGAAAAATATTATACTTTGTTTTACATAATTTCACGACACGTGTTTCTGGTCTCGCAACCGTCTTCAGGTGAAAGTGGAGATTTCTACATATTATTAAAAATAATTAATTTTTCTTCATGTTCAATGTGGAATATTCTCGATATGAGACATTCTGTTTGTGTGTTGGCAATCCGAATTTTCTTTCTAGAATTATGTAAAACAAAGTATAATATTTTTTCTCAATAAATCCACATTACAACCAAAAACGTTTGCGGCACCCTCTTCTTTTTTTTATATATATATATATATATATATATATATATATATATATATATATATATATATATCTTTGAAAATGACGCATTATTTTAATGGTATGTTTTCCGTCCCTCACTTCTTCAGAAAGATTCGATGGAACGGCAAAACTGAAAAAGGTCGACGACACCGGGGTGGGGGAGGGGGGGGTAAATAAGCTCTTACTGAATAGAAAACATAAAGAATATTACTCAAAAACCACCGATGAGAGAGAGAAATATGAAAGTTCTCCTTCTGTCTGCAAAAAGTCGGTCGATGAAAGTTGTTGTAAACACTTTCTAAAAACCGAATATGTTTAACCGACAGAACCTTGTGCAGCAACCCAAACGCTCCGTCAAGATATTTGAAAGCACAACCCGGGTTGTTTACCAAATGAAGCTTAATGTCTGACGCATAAACGGTCTGGGTCAAGTTTTGGCGTTTTTGATTATTGTCCTTCCACCGTGACTTTCTGAGAAGGTATTAGAAGAAAAAGGCCCTTTAAAAGAATGCTTTCCCTCACTTTCAAAGTCATATTTAAATTCTTTACATATATATATATATATATATATATATATATATATATATATATATATATATGTGGGTATATATATATATATATATATATATATATATATACATGAATATATATATTATGAATATGTAAAAGAAGACAGGCAGAAATCATAATCATAAACAGAATAGAATCAATAAGAACTCAA